CCCACCTACATACGGCGAAAGACGGATTTGAATTTTTCTAGCCGGCTATAAATTTTATAGCCGAGTACTTGGACTCAGCCTTGGACCCTTGTTTTTGCACTTTCGTATACATAACTTTATAATCCGCTGATGTAGACTTATGGTGCAAAATTTGACAACTTCCTCGCCTTTAGTTTGTGATTGGTCTTTGACCATTGCATCTATGAATTTGATTTCCTTTACTAAACATTTTTTAAATGGACAGCAGCAAAGTCGATCACCAGTGCCAGGTCAACGTCAGAAGCTTGGTATCATTCGTGGCCCAGATGGGAAAATTACAAGCGTTACAGGACTGCAGCCCGGCCAAAAATTAATAGAGTCCCCTAGCGGGCTACGCATTGTAACAACATCTACACCTAATCGGCCAGATCGGAAAATTGTTGTCAAGTCGGAGCTCCCAAAAATGGTTTCAAAGGTTTCTAGCACCCAAGATAGTGATAATGGGATGCAAAAAACGCCAATTGACGTCCGGCAGCAAGTTACAGGAAATCCAGCAAACGTTATTGTGAAATCAATCACAAACAAAACGACAACATCAAATACTCCACCAACTCGATCAGTTATTCTTAATAATGGTCAAGTTCTCGGTAAGTTTTCAAAAATTGAATTAAAACAACTCAAATGGGTCAACACATTTAACATTTTCTGTTGTTGAAGTGCATAGGTTTTTATTATGCTCCATCTCTATTTTAATCACTTTAACATGATATCGTGCAAGTAACCCTCTGTATCCCCTAAATAAATAAAAAATTGCTATTTTTCGTCATCTTATATGCATCAAGTCTCAGAAATTAGAATATTCACGAATTATGACAGTAAAATTTTCTACTATTTTGAGGTTTTTCTCAAATGAATCTGAAATATTGATCGAAACACTACAATCTTTTTACGTAAAGGGCTAACAATTTCACAGAGATTCGAATGCGATGAAAGCTGTGTCAAAATATGAGTGAAAGTGATTGTTTACCAAATTTTTGTTTACATACAACGACAGATTACATATTTTATTTGTTGTGGAAATATCTCGAAAACGGCTGGGTAAGTCGGCAAAATGGACCGTGGCCAAGTTTGAGGACTCCGAATACAAATCCGGTAGGTGATCCATGGATTCTCAGGATTTGGCCAGATTCCAGTGCTTCCTTTCCGATGTGCATCTTTAAAGTCCTTTTCCCTATGTTTTGTACGGAATTTTACCACAATGCAAAAAAAGTAACACAACGGTTCACTTTGCCGATTTACCCAGCCGTTTTCGAGATATTTCCACGTTCAGATTTTGTCATAGAAGCCAATGCAATAGCGGCTGCACTCCGAGGTTTTCAAACAAACTGCCCATCGCCCATTCAACCCAGGTCGCAATACAGGCAAAAATCGTAAAAGAAGTTAATGTTTTTTCTCGATTCTAATACGGTATTTAATGTGCCCAATCCATTAGTGATATCGCCACATCAAAATTCGCGCTCCTTATCAATTCATCATAAGTTTGAAAGAGACCTCATCATGCCCGAAATTAGTTTCAAAAAGCAACAACACCAATTTGTGAAACGAAATTTGCAAGTTTCGGCTTTAAACTGCAACATGGTTTTTTATGTTGCAATTATAATATATAATATGAGAATTTGCTTTGTGTCGCTTTGGTTCAAAAACTTGCGTTGTTGCTCTTTGTTCGTAGACAAATGCCATGCTTCGATTCAATTCTTATTAAGTACTAGCGGCCTCGCCTCGCTTCGCTCGACTCCCCGAAATTGAATGATAGTCTGTATCATTTCGTATGTTCAATACTTGTTTTTTCAAAGCAAAGACGATTTTCTGGGAAAGTTACTCCTTTTTCTGGAGTTGATTTTACACGCATTTTTTTCATATGTGAATTGGTGTTGAGTCGTGACCATGATGGACCGAGATGGTGTCCATGCACACAGAAAAGAATCCCCGGAAATTTTGGGTGTTCGCCGTAAAATTTGACATTTATATTTCTATATACATCATAAATTTCTATATACATTTTACCGGCAACACTTCAATTTTCCGGGCGATGACATATTTTCGAACATTTTATCAAATACTATGTATATTTTACCGCTTGAAATGACAGATGGCGCTAATTTCTGTTGGAATATTTGAAATTATGTCATCGCCCGGAAAATTCAAGTGTTGCCGGTAAAATGTATATAGAAATTTATATATAAATGTCAAATTTTACGGCGAACACCTAAAATTTCCGGGGATTCTTTTCTGTGTGTGTACATCTCTGTTCCAAAACCTTTCATATGACACCCATATTGACTATTCATGGTGTTAAGTCGTGTTAATATGACAATGATGGACCGAGATGGTGTCCATGTTCATCTCTGTTCCAAAACCTTTCATATGATACCCATATTGACTATTCATGGTGTTAAGTCGTGTTAACATGACCATGATGGACCGAGATGGTGTCCATGTTCAACTCTGTTCCAAAACCAATATTTCATTGCCATCAATCCACATTAATGTACGTTGTTTCGAAAAACAATTAAAAAAATTGTTTCTTCAAACTTTTGAAAATTTAATTCGAAAATCAAAACTGATATGTGAATCTGCTATTTAAGCCGCGAGAATTCTAACGACATATTCACCATTAAAACCAAGAATTAAAAAATCTTGAAAATAAAAAAAAATAGGACAAACGCACACACACACACATACACACACAATGAGTTTTATATACAAAGAATTATAGGCTTTTTTCTGGTTTAATTGGAACCTACTCCGCACTGAAGTTTTTAAAATTCAGGAATTTCATTAATGTGTTTAACTTAATCAAATGAAATGATACTAAAATGAATGGAATAACATCAAAAAATGTAAGAAGAAATGTCGTAAATGCTCACAAACCATGTTGAAATGAAACATGATGAACTAAATAAAACAGAAAATAATAAAGAGATCACGAAAAAATGGTTCCAATTTCAAAAGATACCAAATAGGATTAGGATTAGGAATACAGAAAATAAGGAAATATTTGAGGAATAATACATTAAAACTACATGAAATGCGTAAAAAATATACACAGGAAAGAAATTCCCTGAAAGGTTCAGATATTCGCTACGCCCAATTTTTTTTTCCTAAAAAAAACAAAATTCAGATTTCTCAGACAAAAATTTTTTTCCAACCTCCATAATATAGGTAAAATGGAGGCGCCAAAAATTGTTGTCTAAGAAATCTGAATTTTGGTTCTTTTTTTCAGGAAAAAGATTGGGCGTAGCGAATATCCGAACCTTTCTTCCATGTGTGTAGTAATAAACTTCCATATAAAGCCGTAAAATGCGTAGAAAATACTGATCCGAATAGCTCTCACGTTCCATTTCCGAAATTTTGTCCGAAATTACACGTACGAAATATTCAACCAAACTGTCAATATCATTTTTTACTTTTACTTTTCTATTAACTTGCTATTACATAATTATGGGCTATTCATTTTTTGGGCTATTCATTATTTTGATTATTAATTTTTAAAGTTACTATTAACCAACTAACGTTAATCGTTAATAGAACAAGAAATAAACCTCTCGGTGATTATTAATAGATAGTGTCCGACCTCAGCTTCCAAAATATATTGCCTTTCGATTCGTCGCTGCACCAACACAACACCAAAGTCGAAATTCCGTGATAATGAGATTAAAGGGAACTCATCTTAATCAATGATTAACTATTTACACAATCATGATTAAGTTGGTGCAGTTAATCACGGCGACATCGTGATTAATACAACAAGTTAATCATCGCCGATGATTAATTAATCTCTTGCACAATCACTTAATCATGATTAATTGCGATTAAGTGATTAAGTGGCCAGTCTTAATCATTTTAAAAATGATTGTGCAAGTATTAAGTAATCGCAAAACGCCCACCTGTCATTTTGTTATTAAAAAATTTCGTATATAATGTATTGTATAAACAGATATATTGGTATAATAACCAGGTACCATGTAAGTTTACATACGGGCTACTAGTAGTTATATGTTATACGGTGCTACTAGTACCCAATATTTTGCTCAAGAACCAAATTTGTCATTTTTCTGCGTTTTTTTCTGTGTTTTTAGCACTACATGAAATGTAAAGCTACTAATCTGCTTCTTTTTTTTCCTAGATACTTTTTGAGTGTTGAAACAAATTATGGTGAATTTGAATTTTATGCTCATATTTTTCATCTAATTTAAAACAGTGGCAGTAACGACAAATAAGTGCATAATATCTCAAAGCGCCAATCAAATTTTTATCATCAAATATTGTTTAAAAATTACATTAATTTTTCGTATAATATTTTCTGAGTCTTGACCAGAATTAAAGTGATTTTAGATTCTATGCTCATATTATTTATTTAATTCAAACCAAAGGCAGTATATTTCAAAAAAGAAATTAAACCAAGATCTTTTAACTCATTTTGCAAATAAATATATTACTTCAAAGTTACTTTGATGAAATACATTTCATGTAGTGCGCCAAAAAAATAGTTTGTTGTCAAACAACAAAATAGATTAAGTAACTAAAAACTCAAGAACGCAGAGCGGAGCGAAGCGACGATTTTTATTGCTACGGTTATTACTTGTAATAAAATGCGGTAATAATTATTACCGGTCTTATTACTGTACAGTATAAAGTTTATTGCATCTTATTACAAGTAATAACGCCGGTAATAACTCAGTTCTCGGTAATAAGATGTGGTAATAAATGTTACCGTGTTATTACTTGTAATAATTAATAACGAAAATAATGAATATTACCGATTTTTACTTCTATATTTTTTCTGCTTTTTTATGTGTTTTGTCTTTCTGTGTTTTATACGAGAATCAAATTCAGCAGTCAATGTCATATGCAAAGCTATTCATCGTTTTCTGCACGTAAATGAAAGCTAAAAATGTACATGACCATAGCTCATACATATTAGTCAAATTTTGAGGACTTATAACCAAATTCAGCGCAAAAATAAGTGCCGCTAATAGATGTGCTTCTTTTGATAATGTTTTGATATTCAATGAGGACAGCCATAGATCCTGACATAGTCTGATTTCGTTGATCCTGACCCCTGCTGGCATTTTTTGACCCCCAACGAAATTTTTTGGTCCCATCGACATTTTTCGACTTATTTTTCGAAAGTCTTCACTTTTGACACTAGATAGAATTGACACAGTAGTTCGACAAGTGCTATAGAACAAACTACAACTTTTTGTGAAAAATACTTATTTACTCATTTCATGGCTTTTAGAGCATCATTTGTATAAGTCTTTCACGTAATTTCCATTATAAACATTCGTACACTGTGAAGTTAGTTTTTTGAACTGTGTTTTCTTGAAACTTTATCCTGTTCTTTTTCATGAAGTTAGAGTAACTTCATCTATCAGAAAGTCGAATAATATCAGAAATATTTATTGGTTTTTCTACTATTTCAACGAAATACGTATAGATGAAGTTACTTTATTGACGGCTGAATGTTTTTCAATAACACGTCACTTTGTTGTCCAGAACAAATTTTCTCAGTCTCGACCACAATAATCGTGTTTGTTCATATCGAAATCAGAATTGCAATAATTGACTGAAGACTGATGCATGA